CGTGAGGCCGCCCGCGCCCGGCCCCGCCGCCGCCGCAGCCCGGCCGCGCCCCACAGCCGCCGCCGCCATGGGCTGCCTCGGAAACAGTAAGACCGAGGACCAGCGCAACGAGGAGAAGGCGCAGCGCGAGGCCAACAAAAAGATCGAGAAGCAGCTGCAGAAGGACAAGCAGGTCTACCGGGCCACGCACCGCCTGCTGCTGCTGGGTAAGGGCGGGGCGGGGGGCGCCGGCTACGGCCCGGCCCGGGGGCCCCGAGGGGCGCCCCGCAGGCCGCGCGCGCCGAGCCCGCCCCCCGCCCCGGGCGCGCGCTCCCGGGCCCGCCGCCCACTCTTGGGCTCTGTTTGTGGGGGGCGAGGCCGGAAGGGGGACCCCCGGGCGCGGATTCGGTCGGGAGGGGGCCCAAAATGGGACTGGGGGACGTGGCGGCGCGGGTCCCCCTCCCTCGGCCCGTCCACTCTCTTTCTTTCGCCCCCCCCTTCTTTCTTTTGCTCTCTTTCTCTTTCTCTCTCTTTCCGCGAGGCCTACACGACGCCAGGGGCTTCGGTGCGTGAGGGGGAGGGGGAGGCCCACGGGGCTCCTGAGACTGCGACAAAAAGAGGGTTTCGGGGACAGGAAATGGGGTGGCGGGCAGAGGGAGGGGGACCCGCCTCCGTAGGGTGTGTGATTTGTTGGGAGAAGGCAAGGGGGAGAGAGAGGGGCGAGAAGAGGAGGGGGTGACGCTGGGGGGCGCCGTGGTGGCGGAGGGGGCCTCGCCAAAGAGAGGCTTTGGCGGGGGAAGTGGCCGAGGAGAGTGGGGGGGCGAGTGACATCAGCCCCTCGGAAAGGACCAGAGCGGTAAAGGTGGTGCAGTGGGGGGGGGGGGGGGGGGGGGGGGGGCGGGGGGCCGGGGGGGGGGGGGGAGGGGAGGAGGGAGCGCGTCGGCCGCTGGGCGCGACTTGGTGCGTTTCGGACAGGACCGACTGTGTGCGGAGCAGACGTGTCCTGGGCCAGGCCTGGCCGTGGAAGGAAGAGAAGGAGAATCAAATAAAATAAGACAAAAAAGAAAAAAAAAAAAAAAAAAGATAGTACGCAAAGTGCCCAATGAAGCCAAATGACACGTCATTTTACAGTATGACCTTTTTTCCCTTCCAGACTTGCAGGCTTTTTGAAAAGCAAAGAAGAGAATTAATTGTAGCAGCTGCCCCCCAGCAGCGCCCCCCACCCGCGCAATAAACCATTAAAAAAACACACACACACATTTTCCTGTTAGTTGACCACATTGAGAGTGCTTTGTCAAAAAAATAAAGGAAAAAAGACATTCACAAATCAGATAAAACTGGAAAATGACATTTGTCTGTAAATGGCTTCTTGGTCTGGAAATGGCGTTTTAAAAAATTTGTCCTTTACAGGGGGGAGGGGATTGAGAGCGCTCTAAGGGAAAGACTTTTCCCAGGTGGGAGAGACGAAAAGACATTAATTAGTTGTTTGTCAAGTGACATTTGGTTGTTTGGTTTTTCTTCTCTTTTTTGATTGCGGTTTTTCTTATGGGGGGGGGGGGGGGGGGGGGGGGGGATCCTTCACTGTGAGGAGATGGCCTTTCCTCCTTTTTTCTTTAAGGTGCTGCTTTGGTGGGGGGGAGCATTTTAAAAATTGTTGAAATGACCAGAAGAATTACACAAGCGTTAATTAGAATGGAAGTTTTCCACTTCCTTGGTTATTTAGTTATCTGAATAAATTTGTGGATTGGCTAGGTTAAGACCTAGTTCATGGTCACATTTCAACAAACAGCTTGATTATCAAAAACACAATGTAAAAAAAGCCCTGTTGTTTTTTTCTTTTTCTTTCTTTTTTTTTTTTTTTTTTCCTGGTGGTGTTTGGTTTGCTCTCTTTGGATGGGTCACGCCTTTGTTCTCCTGGGTCCAGATTTATAAAAGCAGTAAATTATTAATTAAGTGAAAATAAGTCTCTTTGGTGTTAATGCATTTGCAATTTCAGTAATTAAATGGTGCATATGTGAAGGTGTCTTCTCAAACTTCTAAAGGTAGACTTATGCTATGTGAATGTTAATATGCATATGATTTGATTTCAAAGTATAAAACTGGAAAAGTCTAGAATCTTTCCCATGAATAGGATCTTGCTATCTGAATACTAATTTAAGTCAAGTGTGATGCTAATGGTACCTTAAATTTCTAACACCTTTGGTGCAGTGCTCACAAAGTCTCCACTTAATTTGAGACTGTTAACTCTGAGCATACCTTACCTTGCTGTGGGCTCATCTTTCTAAGGTATCCTAGTCTACATGGCTATATTTTGTCACAATTCAGTAATAGCCTCTGGCACAGAAATCTGTAGCCCAGGCAAGTGACAGCATTTTGTATTTTAAAATGGTGGGTTTCACTAAATAATGCCCCCCCCAAACAACATAATGCTCCAAATCCTGGTTTTATAACTTAATTTAATGACATGGAAATTGGTGAATTAACAGAACCACAAAAAAAGTACAGTAATTTTTAGCCCGATTCTCTAATTTCATAAATGTGGAAACTGAGGCACAGATCTATTCATCCCTGTAAGATAAGTGTTGACACTTTTTAGCAGTTCTGAAATCAGAACATTGGAGTTCCTGATTAATATTGTGTATTCTCTTCATGAAATCTCCTAATAGTGCTTTTTATATTTTAATTTATGAGAGTTATGTTCATTAAGATAGTGTTTACTTTGAAATCAACGTTTGAATTTTAACTTTTACAGATAATTGATTACAGCATTGTGGAAAGGCAAGCAAAGGAGGAATGCTTTGCTATGTGGGTATTAAAGCAAAACAATTAATTAAAAAGAAAAAGGGTTAAAAACCACACAGATTTCTGTGGGAGGAGGGCAAAGAATTATCACCTGGGATTTGGTGGAGAGTGTGCATTTGCCTAATAATAATAATAATAGCAGCAGCAATCCTCCTCTAGCTTGATAGAAATGTGCATTTTTTCCTATAAAATGCTATTTTTCAACAAATGAAAGGTGATTTAAAATGGAGGCATGTGTCCCTTCCTGCTTAGTTGGGAAGGGCTTAGAGTCTTTGAAATTCAGTGGTTTCTAGGCATTATTTTTCCTTATGATCAAAGTCTTGTCCTTTTATTACTCTTTATTGTTGTTGCAGGTGACCTAATGCTAATATGGTCTCAAGTGCTATATTTGATATTAAAATGTGTTTTTGGAGAAGATGACAGATAATTGATGGTCTTCCATTTTCCTCTGCAACAGGGTGGTTATATCCAAAGAGAATTTATATTTGGAAAGATAACATTTTGGGGGGAGAGGAGGGTGAATAAGTGGATAAAATGTAATATTGTGGTTTTAAGTTTGGATTTTAAGTAGCCCAAGGGTGGGGACCCTGCATGGAAGGCAGCTGCATTGTGCCATGTTCGGGCTGGCAGTGCTGCATCTGTACGTGATGTGGGAGACTGCAGTGTCTGGGCATTGTTTGCAAATCCTGGGTATTTTAACCATGAAACATCTGACAAACAATGAATTATGTGGCTCACATACATTTATGTGAGCCATTTTGCCAGTCAGTGCTCACATTTCAAGAATTTAGTTTCACAGTTTTAACTTCAATTTTCTTTTTCCTCCTCAAATGACAAAATTGCGTCATTCTCCTTGGCCTGTGCCTTCAACACCCCACGATTTTTTAAACAACCAAAAAGGAGGGAAACAAACAAAAACAAAACAAAACAAAAACCTAAAACAGCACCACCTTTAATTCTTGTTTGTTGTTCTGATGGTGAAATACTGCAGGTAGACACTGAGTTGGATGTTTATTTCATTTTCTCTGCGTCGAAATGTCAAGGAAAATTGCAAGTCTGTTATTTTGTGTTTGTTGTTGTGTTGCTTCTATGGACAAACAAAACAAAAAACTGCAGTCCTTTCCCTGCCCAAAGTATGAGATGCCTCCTTCTTAACCTGAGACTTACTTTCGTTTTCTAGGCGCTGGAGAATCTGGTAAAAGCACCATTGTGAAGCAAATGAGGATCCTGCATGTTAATGGGTTTAATGGAGAGTAAGTGTCAAATCTGTGTAAGGGCACTAAGAACAAGTGACACATTTTATACTAACTTTAGGCTGCAGTATAGGTAGGTTTGGAGCTGGACACCTAATTTGCACTTATTTCTAATTTACATATTAGAAAATCCTAAGAGCTCTTGAGGACTCCCCCCCCCCCTTAATCTTTGGTGCAATAATAATAATCGTAATAAAAATAAAGCACCAGTGTTCATATAAGACACCTCTCTGTCCCGGGAAAGTATGCCTGGTTGCAGAGGACAGTTCATGGCACTTGGCCCTTGATGGCGTCCCTGAGGCCAGGTTGTCTGCCGCAGCTTCTGCTGCAGTGACTCCAACATGGCTGACGGGTCCTCTGCGGCCCCCTTGTCAAGCTAGTGCTGACCACTGCAGAGATCCCCTCCTCCCCAGACGATTTCAGCTTCATCATCCACCCAGGATGTTTTTAACTATTAGCAAAACATTGTTTTAATAATATCTTCATGTAAAACAAAGAAGTGATCGCCCTTGTTGATAATTTTTTTTAAATGTCCCCTTTTGAATTGACATTATGGGCAAATAATTGTTTCCTTTACTAAATATCAATACTCCCACCTAAAGAAATGAAAGGGAGTTTTCAAATGATGGAAAGGCTGGGAGCTATATCTTCCGCCTGGTTCAAGGGGCATTTTTGCCTTTGAAATGTCCTTCCAGGTCTTGAGGTATATACAACAATGAGCAATACTTCAGTGAGAATAGACTTTTTTAAAAAGAGAAACAGTATTTATAAGAGACTCCGTGAGTGTGGGGTCCTGCTTCCATGAAGAACGCAAACTGAGGAATACTCACTAAATCAGGAGTTTGGGTTTTTTCTTGCCAGACCCCCAGATGGGGTCCATTTTCATTCCCGTGAAGCCAGTTAATCACCAGATCACAAGCACCTGAAGGCACTAGTTTGCAATTACTAGCTGGTTAGCAGCCCCATTCCCTCTCCTCAACATGCTTTCAATTGAAAGTTCGTCCTTCAGTTGCGTTCACTTCAGATTGAGTCGAGGGGGCAGTTTAGGTTAGTTTACGCACCCCTAAAAAACAAAACCCACTGCTTGCTACGCATTAAGCACTGGGAAATGGAGGTGAACTTTGTAACCTTTCAGAGTGCCAAAGGCGGTTCTTTATGGAAAATTCTAGAATTTGTGAGATCAAATAATCAGAGCTTAGGAAAAGATGACATCACCCATAGAAATGGTCATTTTAGTTTAAGATGCTTTTTATACTTTAACCCTGAATTCAGAAGAGTAGCATGCAGAAAGGAAGGACGGACAAGTTTACCTATATTTTAGAATAGTCATGAATTATGAATATGTATCTCTATTGCTATTAAGTCAGTCACTTTCACATAATTCTGAAATTAATTCCTGACACACCCTTGAGTAAAACCCTGCCAGCGGAGACTGCCATCCTGTCAATAAACAAAAAAACAAAACCCCCTAAAACCAACTTCAAGCCTTATATTTGTAATTTAAAGAAAAGTCTATCCTAAATTTCCCCCCTCCTGCAACTTGCAGTGGTGGGGGGTGCTTCTTCATGAGACTAGTTAAGCAAAAATAATTTCACCATGCGCCCTCTGGATAAATATTTTGATTAAAGCTGGACATGGCTAGCATTTTAAAAGATGCAGCAGCCACTGTTTACCTTAGCTTGAGTTGGATGGAAGAGAAGTCTCCTTGAAATAATTCACTTGAGGTTTTATTATTGTACAGATTTCCCTAATATTTTTTAATTTTTTACAGAAAGGCACCCCCACACACACCCCCAAGTGAACCAGTGTAGCACACACGAGGCTTCTAAACAAGAACTTCTCTTTTCTATTTTCTTTTCGAAAAGAGGAAGAGACATTCCCAGTTTGCCTCCTTAGTGGATCCCTGATAATGTTAAATTTAGCATGCGAAAGTAACATGCCGGGGTGTTCTTCATGGGGGTCTAAGTACCTCATTTTTACCTAGTGCAGCTAAAGCTTCCTCTCTTGCTTTTCCTCACTGTTGTACTGCAACAAATGCAGCTCTTTCTAAACTAGGAATTCCTTAGGAAATGGTGACCTCTGTCCCTAAATGGTGGTCTGCCTGGTGTGGGTTTTTTTTTTTTTTTTTTTTTTCCGTTCTCACCCCCTCCTGCCAATCCTGTACTTTGTTAGCTGTAGTCTGCGGTATTAAATTTGCCTTAACTGTCCACAAGCTGCTGTGCCAATTATGTTTTTGAGAGTAACAATATTAATTTGACCTTCAGAAATACAGAGATCAAATATGGATTTCTTAACTCAAAGCTAACTGTTTAGTATTAAAAAAAAATCATTAGTGTTGGTTGAGCTAAGCTAATCAATTATAAAACATGTCGCCGAAGGCTCAGCTATCCTGCCCTTCCGCCTTTGCCTTCAGGGAGCAATTCCTACTGTTGATGAAGAGATGAAGATTTTGAGTTTTTGTTTTTGGTGGTAGTGGGGTGGGTTTTCCTTTTTTCAACCAGGCAATTGAAGTTGGTGACAATTTACAAGAAACAGTTATTTATAAATATAAACATTGTATAGGTAGTTGCTAGTTTCTCCCACTGCATGAAGGAAGATTATTAATTTTGCACCAGGAAATAATGGACAAAAATCTCCACTGTCTATGCCTTTGCATGTTTGGATACAACACTGAAGATTCTGACCTGGGAGAATTAAGAGCCTTCTGAGCTGCCATATTCTCAGAAGAATACTGAGATAAATCACTGCTTTAGTTCCCTAATGCATGTACATTTAGTGAAAGCACAAGAAAATAATTATCTGTCCCTCCTGTATCCGACCAGAGTCTCCAGAGGGCTCTGTTAATACTGCAGCGAAGGTGTGGAATTCTTCCCCCTACGGCCTTTAGTCTCAGTAGACATTCAGATTTAGCCAGAAAGGCGACCTAAGAATTAACGGGAGGATGGCGCGCGAATTATTGCATTTGCTCTTGGCTGATTGTTTAAGAATGTGGAGAGGCTGTGTGGGTTGTATGAAATTGCGGTGCCTTGCAGACTAGGTGAGCTTTCAATCTCTCTTTAAAAGGGGCGGCGAAGAGGACCCGCAGGCTGCAAGGAGCAACAGCGATGGGTAGGCACATTCAAAAACAGAAAAAAATTTTTAACAAACAAAACAAACATGAAGATCATACTGGGAAACTGAGGGCACAGACCTGGGAAGAAAATAATCATTTAAGGGCCATCAGCCATCTTGGTATACATGTGCAAATAACGTGTAGACAACTTCTTAACAAGTGAAGTGCAAAACATAATTTTTTTCAGCATTTCTAAAGTATAATTAGATCCAGCTGGGGGAAAGTTATAGATTTTAGCTTTAGACAATAGTTTAGAATTTTGAGAACTGATGTTTTTCCATATGGTTTTTATTTCCCCCCAGTTCTCTGTTTGAATCAACTACTTGTTTTTAAAATGCATCTATTAAATTCTGTCCGTCCAGTGGTTGGTCTGATTTTAAAATTTCAGATCTCTGGAAGAAGAAAAAAATTTTTTTTCCTCTATTAAAATATGCCGTGCCATACAATTCTTAATTTTGAAAAATGCCTTGGCACTTAGCAGCAATTCATTGTTAGGAATCATCTTGAAGCCACTGGCCTTTATAAAAACAATCAAATTTAATTCAAGGCACTTCACATTAGCTGGTAGATAAGGATATTCATGATGGCATCCATTTTTTCCATTACCATCATCTCTTCCATTTTGCTTTCTGCATCCCATACCATCTCAACGCGCATGCACACACACAAGCCTCCGCATGCTAGGTGAGCCACACGAACTCTGCTTGCATACTCAGCATGCAGGGATGGAGCAGCTATTTCTCATGAGAACATATAGGTCCAATTGACTTAGCCTAGGGCATCTCAAAGAAATAGCTTCTGTGGCCAGGGCGGGGAGGGGCAAAGGACACGGGTTGGGGACAAAGTAACTGACACATGTTTGTTCATCTGTTTCTTTTAGAATATATTATCCCTAGATGATGGCTACAGTCTCTCCTCTTCCCGGCCTTTCCTATCACAATTTGCATGCTGGAATTGCTCGGTCTTATGAACCTCTAATAAGAATACTATTCTGTTGTCTGGGGGGAGGGGGGGGCCCACCTACTACCTGACCTTTAAAGATAACTACAAAAAAAACAAAAAACAAAAAAAAAATCTTTAATTGGCAAAAATGTAATAGAATGACTTGAAAGGCACCTATATAGAAACTGATTGATAATCTGCTGTACCAAAAGTTGGCATCTGAAATATGACAAGTCATTATTGAACAATCTACTGTGTACTAGATGTTGTGCTAAATCCTTGAACCCTACTAATACCTTGCCTGCACGTCTCTCTCTGACTGTTCTACAAGTAAATATAAGTATTAACATTCGTGTCAAATAAAAGTTCTCTGCATGTTTCAGCAATCCCTGTATCCTGCGTCTGTCTGCTGTCTTTCTTCTTTTGTCTGTCTTTCCCCACAAAAGCACAAAAATAGGCATAGAACTGAATGAAACCTAGTACAGTGTACCCCTCCCCTACCACTTAGTTGGAGGTAGGCAGGACCTGTTAAATAACATTAACCCCACTAATCTCTGTACATTGGGGTTGGAGAGGGCATCAACGTCCTGAAAGCATTTCTAGCCCTAGTCCCAACTGTTGAGTCACTTAGAATTCTAGCAATTGGCATATATTTTGCCATTAAGTAGTTTAGAGATATCTAAGGAGTTTTATCCAAATCTCACAATCAATGTTAAATTCATTAAGTGATAGTACAAATGATGATAAACCTGCCAGCCCCCAGTGTAACATCTCCATCTACATAGTAATTGCTTCAATGGAAGAATTTTATGTTTTAGTATCACACACCCGAATTAGATTTTAGATTTCTATTTTAGCTGTTTTATACTTGATATACTCCCACACCTATTCACATACGTAGATGAATACTGAACACGTTCTCAAAATATCCGTATTTTAAGACTGGAAGTTTTCCAATTATCATACTACTACTTAGACCAAAATATCAAACTGAATGAAAGAATCTCATTTCTGGAAGTATTTTTCTCTTGCTGTATATGGATTTAGAAATTTAATCCAAACACACTTCATCTTACTGTTGGGAGACCTTCAACCCAGAGATTTAGGGCATTTAGTACTAATGACAGGGAGCCCGTTTTTAATAAGTGGGGGTGGGTTTGTCCTCGGCAGTTTTAAGTAAATTCTGAATTCAAGCATGAACATTAGGGATGTCAAACACATGTCCTTTCACTGTCTAACGTCTGAATAACTGATTTTAGACTAACACCAACGCTGAAAATTCATAATTTCAGAAATGATCGTGAATTCCCTACATCTGAAGCAGAACAGCCCCCACTGAATGGTCAGGACTCTCCCTTCAAATATGGAGGGTGGGGGGGGGGGAGCTTTAAGAGTCCAGGGGCCTGGGGCAACTTCTAGGTTTATGCAAGGCTGCCTAAAACACACACCTTGCTACCACTTCCACCCCTGGGGTCTGATTCTCTCCATACCGAAGTGGATCCTGTCGAATTCCTGGTGCTAACCTCCCCTCCCACAAGATGCTCCCCTCTGCTGATGAGAGCAGCACCCCAGACCTTGCTAGCAAGGTCTAAGGGTATGTAAGGGCCCATCTGAGAGGCTCAAGTCTAAGGGTGAATTTTGAGATCATTCACAAAATGGAGGCCCACTCCCCCAAATATATAAATACTTGTTCAAAAAGTAAAATGAATCTCATTGAAAAAGGAAAGAACAGCTTCTTTGGGGGGAGGGCCTGTTAAAATGCATGTGACTCTGACCCTGCCCAGCCCCTCCCCCACAAGGCCCACGAGTGCCCCCTCCCACCTGCAGCACCACTGACCCTTTCCTGGCTGCAGTTGCTATCAATCCCCCTTTGTATTTCCTGTGCCTTAATTTTCTGTCCCACTCTGGAGGAGTCATTTGTTTCACTTCTGTCTCCATTCTGTGACTTCTGTTGAACCAATCAAGTGAATATTTCAAAAAGTGGGAATCTCATTGTTTTAATTGCAAGCAGCAAGAAAAAGTAGCTTTATCCCAAGTTGCTGCCTCTGACTAGGATTCCTCTCAGCCTCAGTTTCCCCATTAGAGGGTGAGGCTGCAGCACCTTCCTGCATGTGGCGCTGTGTCACATCCCAGGGCCGCATGCCCAGTGGATACTGCACACATTGGGATTCCTTCCCCCCACTCAAGGCAGGGCTAGATGTCATATCCGTAGCAGAAGGTGCTTTGTTGACCCTTAAAAAAAGTTGGGACATGGGAACCTGAGGCAGGAGCACCACAAGCTCCAGGCCTGCCTCATCAACTTAGCAAGGACTTGTCTCAATAAAAGGGGGTTGGACCTGTAGCTTGGTCATTCAATGCCCCTGCGTTCATTCCCCAATACAATTAAAAACAAACGCTTGGGCATCTCCCCTGACTGTGCCTTCTATCCTGAAGGCCAGTTTCTAAAAGATATATAATATTTGGGCCAATGTAATCTGGTACCAAAAAATAACATTCTGTCAGGGAACCACAACAGCCAAAGGTTATGACCTTTACACTATGGCCTTTACCAGTGGCTCTGAATACAGACAGTTCCACAAAGACCACAATGGGCTGCATGTCAGGAACTGGCATAGACCCCCTACCACCATTATTAGGACTTGGGGAGGGGGAGGTCTTCCGTTCCTGATAACCTTGGCGGACCAGTGTGCACAACATTATAAACTTAGAAGTATTGTTAGCTGCAGTACCCAAAATAACATCTCCCTATGACAGACATGTAACTGTTTAAATAAATAACAGGGCTGCAAATAAATAAGTAGGACTGCAGAGCCCTGGAATCTGTAATTAATGATTATTAACACCACCCCTAGCATTTGCTGGTTGTCAGTAGCAACCCAGAGAATACCAAGTCAAACCCCATGATGACCTGTACACCCTACAACCCCCACGAAGAATGCTGATAAGGGCCAAGTAGGAGGAGCCTTTTAGGAAGTGGTGGTGTGTGGTGTGGGGGCTGCAAACCCACGGAGCCAAATCTGGAATAGCAGATAACCCCTGCAACCTCTGGTACAGCTGATGGTGATCTCTATAGGTGCTGACTTGCCAATCACTCCCATCCAGTGTGTCCTTGGGGCACGTTTGGGACGCTATGATTTACTTGGGTGCCTCCAATCTGCACAGATCTGAACCCACAACTCCTTGAAGAACAGAATACTATGCTTTTTAGTTGGAGTATCTTGATTAAGGTGACCCCTGGTCAGCGGGATGCAATATGATTTTCTTTTCTTTTTAATCCCACTGTAGTGAGAAGGCCACCAAGGTGCAGGACATCAAAAACAACCTGAAGGAGGCCATTGAAGTACGTGTAGCTCCCTTCTCTCTTTAGTACCCCCTTGCTCTCTTTAGTACCCCCCCACACACATGCAGTTCTGTGCCCCTGACTGCTTTACTCAATCATTTTCAGACCATCGTGGCTGCCATGAGCAACCTGGTGCCCCCTGTGGAGCTGGCCAACCCTGAGAACCAGTTCAGAGTGGACTACATTCTGAGCGTGATGAACGTGCCTGACTTTGACTTCCCACCTGTAAGCCACACCCCTGCCTGGTAGCCCTTGCCTCCACTCACCTGTGCAGTAACTTGATCCTATAAGAACATCAGGGACAGGCCCCATACCCAGCCTGGAGTATGGCCACACACATAGGAAGTAAATCACAAACATATCCTTAATGCTGGAAAAAGAAAAAAACATTAGACTTTTGTTCAAGGTGGATGAGCAAAATTTTATCGCCCCTTGTCAATCCTGGCTTGTCCACCCCACAAATGAACGCCACCTTTGATGCCTCAATTCTTACTTATTAGATTGTGAATTTTTATGAGGGAAATAGTCCTGAGCTATGACAGGCTTAATTATTCCCTTGTCTGCATATTAGGACCAACAAAACTGTGCTGAAGATGACAAATATTAATTGTCGAGTTAATCTAGACATGTCCTTAGATACTGTGGGATGCATAGGTAAAGTGCCCAGGGAGACAGTCTCGCTTTGAACCGTGTTACCTTTCACATTTATTAAGATCAG